TGATGGCATTGGAACACCTAACAGTGCTAATCTTGCACGGCACCCTGTTCACCCCTAAAAGGATCTCAGGCACCCCAGGATGCTGCAGCACTGTGGTTGAGAATCACTGATCTACTGCAAAAGGCTTGTTAGAATCATGCCTCTCTTGGCCTTGTATCATTGTCATCCTTGCTCCATAAAAGATGCCCTCCAAATCCCATCAATAACGCAGTGAAGATCTGTATGAAAAGCTGCTCAAAAGCAATGCAGAAAGACTGGTCTGTGTCTGTCAAGTATAGGGGTCTAAACTAGAGTGGAAGTGTATTAGGCAGCATAATAGGGGTTCCGTTAGCTGGCCTTCTGATGGGTTTTTTTGGGGGTTTTGATGTCAGGATTTAGAACTCCAATCCTTTGTACACAGAGCCTAATACATTTCTGGCAAACTCACTTTTTAGAGTGAAAGTACTAATATGTGAACAGTGATTTATAAATATCTTTTTTCTGCAGTCTTTACAAGGCTCTCAGCCATCGTCTCTAGGAATAACAAAGATAAACGCAGAAAATGTACGTATGGTTATCTTGTGATTCTGTGCTCTCCACCTTTTTCGATTGTTTTAAGTTAATTTCATTGTGTTTGGTTTTTTGTAGGGGGCAGTGCCAGATGGTTCACAATTTGTAAGTATCTCTATGTACAGAGCAAACATAAGTCAGAATGAAAACACCTGGATCATTAAAAAAAAAAAGATGAGATGACAGATCTCCTGGATCATGCTCATTTTTGCTCATAAATAGTAGTCAGCTTTCATTTCCCTGTTTAAGTACGTGTATTCCTTACAGAGCACTTAATGGGAGGGGAATTTGGATTCTAGGTCCTTTGCAGAGCTCGCTCAACTGTCAGCGTGTTCGTATTTCATGTCCAACTAACATTATGTACTTCACCTGATAAAATACTTTAGCATGTATAAAATTTAAGCTGTTGAACATGAATTAGACCCTGTAATCTGAAATGCAAAATACTGCATCTGTACAAGATGGGCAGATTTGCTGAGGACCATAATCTTGATTCTTTAATGATGTCTGTCAAACTCAGCTATAACACTCTAGAAACTTTTTGTATTTAAGTCTGTAGCCTAGTCCTAGAAATTTCCTGTAAAAGTGCAGGGAATGAACCAAGCCAGTTTTAAGGAGGAAGAGGAAAGAAGCACAATTTGCAGCAAACTTTGTGGAGAGTTAGTAGCTAACTCTTCACTATAATCTAATTCTTCTTCACCTTGGGTATTCTTGGTGCTGTGGTTGAAGTGTGTAACAATTTCTCAGCATCTAATCAGTTAATAAAATCTTAACTATTCATTGCTTCCCCTCCAAAACAAGACAGTGCAGATTCTTTTTCATTTGACTAATGGATACCAAAGACTGGTGGTTCTTTCTGTGCCTGGTGACAATTGCTTCTACAGAAAGCCAAAACCTCTTATAACTTCATTTTGAAGGTGGATGCACCCTGCTAATATTATCTCTCCTTACTGGATAAATATCCTATTTTATACTGGTGCCAGGAGGAAAGAGAACCTATGAAGTTATTCTGTATATTTTTATGCAATTGTTTAAAAAAATGTGGGGTAAGACATTTAGATAATATTTATTCTGAAGTATGACTGAAACTGAAGCTCTTTCATGGATGGCCATATACATGTAGGTTTATGCACATGTATCTGAATAAACATGCTTGGTGAACACCTAAGTCAGCCCAAAGAATTTGGTATCTGCAATGTCCTATGTTGGTCTCTCGTAAATGGGTCAAATAGTACGTTGCAAACAGTTAGCCAAGCTGAATCAAGCTTTGCATGAGAAGTTTGGAGTTACCAGAGTGAAAGGATCTAAACAAGTTTAAGGAACAAATCATTCCCCAATTCCACTTTCCCCAGGCCCCAAATAGATTTTTATTTTAAATTTGCTCCCCATATGTGTACTGGCAGAACAGCTTTCTGGATTTTGAGTCAAATTATTCAGCTATAAACAGGACACTGGAATGAGCATGCCTAAGCTATAAATATAGCATCCTAATGGTTACTGATAAAATATAATCTATTAAATGTGGCTCAGTTCAAAAGACTTCTTTAGATGTATTCTTCCATTTCCAGCAGCAACAGCAAAATCAGCACAAGTGCCAACACTGTATACTTAATTGTAATGCATTAGTTAAAACCACAGTCCATAATCCCCAGCGGTTGTCTTTTCAGGCAGTTCCTTACCTTGCAAGGCTTAATTCTGCACTTGGTCCTGGACGCACAGTTACCATCAAAGGAGAAGTGAATAAAAACCCAAACAGGTTAGTAAATGCCATCACCTATAAGAAGGCAGATTACACAGTTGCTTATAACCATGTTGTTTCACTGCTGCTATTGTTGTCCAAGCTGCTCTTTCATAGTTTGATTCTTCCTTATCTATTGTACTTTTAAAAAAAGGACACATCTTCAGTCATAATCAGGGAGTGCTATGAGTGCTACTTCTGAGTCAGCTTTATAGTACAGTTTTACTCTGAAAAGTGACTATAAAATCTTTCAGGCTTACGACATAGATCTGCTAACTCTATGCATTATCTGTATACTTCATTGTTTGTAATAAAGAGCATCTTGGAGCCCTGGCCATGGACCCCAGACTCCATGGTGCTAGGTAGCACATGGCACAGACTGTCCTTACCCCACACTGTGAATGGTCCAAGTAGATGATGAGGCACAAGGGGCACCTCTGTGTGCGCGCAACTGTGCAGCAACAGTCGGTACTGTGCAGTCCTGGCATTGCATGGGTCATTTCCAACCTTACTGTGCAGTAGCAATGAGCATCACGGCTCAGGTCAGCTGATGCTATGTTGCTGTAGCGATGAACTACATCACCATAGCTCATCACTGTGGTGACGTAGCATCTCATGTAGATGTGCCCAGTATGAAGCAAAAGTAATGAATGAGGTGGACAGTATGGTTAGCAGGAAAAGCAGTTACACCTGTGACACCATCAGCAAGGACTTTTTGTACGTATTGCAGCAAAGTGGAATTTTAAGGTGGGATTTGGAGGAGGAAGGAGGCAGCTTTGCAGATGTTTATAGAGAGCTCTTCCCCAGCATGAGGAGCAGTGTAAGAAAAAGCTTGAAGGTGTGTGTTTGAAAAGTTTAACAAGTGGGTGATGGAGGATGGCATCCTGGTTTGATCAGAGGTGGGAGTAAGCAACTTGACAGGAAATGAGGTGATGATGGGTCGTAGAGAGCCTTGAACATGAAGGCAAGCACTATGATTCTAAAGAAAGGGGAGCAAGTGAAGGGATGCCAAGAATGGATGACATGGTCAAAGTTTATGAGCTAGTAAAACTGTTTGCCGCAACATTCTCTGTAAGGTCTGTGTTTAGCACAGCAGAAACAGCTCTGTTACAACCAACTGATCAAACACAAATTGTGGAAAGCGCAGTTTTCATTCAGACCCACTCTTAATGTGTGTACCACGCTTCCTGTCAGAACATTCATCACAATCCAGCAAAGTAACATTTCAAGAACGCCAACCCGAAAACATAGCAGTGTTTCAAATCCCTGATGAGTACCAACACTAAAACATTTTACTCTTTATCTAATAACAAGTCCACATAAAACACTAACTTGATAGAGGCATAAATAGACAAGTAGCATCTCTTTTCTTTTGGTCACGAAACATTGATCAGCCTAGCAGATAGGGAGCTGTTTCACTAGTTCCCGATCTACACTAGTTAGGCTGGGTGGAGATTGGCAGAGCACTTTAAATTGCTTGTCTTTGGAATATTTTCAAACTTCAATTTCTTGGGGACTCAGAGCATACTTGAGGTTCTTTAGAAAATTGTGTGAACTTTTGCCCTTAATCAGAACATCTCTCTTCTCCCAATACCTCAGATAGAGTGGAAGCCATAGGTTGCCCTTAGTCAGGATGGTCATTTGCATACAATCTTTGTATGCATGCAGTCCTTGGACTTACGACACAATTGGTTCCTGAAAACCGCGTCTTAAGTCAAAATGTAACTCGGAACCAATTTTCTCATAAGAAACTGTTATAAACGGGGGATTGGTTCCTGAACCTAGGCCCAATACCCTATTTTCACTAAAAATACCCTAGAATATTGTACTTGATCAATTATAGATGAGTAATGTAGCTACATTAATGTATTTATATTGTAAATAGCAATCATTGATTTGGAAGGACTTCTTTGAGGTGACTTTGCTGGACTTTTTGAAAGGCTCTTGGTTGGACTTTTTGAAGGGATCTTGGCTGGACTCTTCTCAAGAGTCTTGGCTACAGGTTTTTGTGGATTCTTGTTTGCTTTCTTCGAGAAAGTGTCCAAGGAAGTTTGGACAGATGTTCTCCAGGGAGATGAGCAATGCAGCGAACTTGTTCACTGGCATGGTGTTGCATTGGATCAAGCGTTGTAAAGTCGAAACTAACGTCAAAGTTGAAACAGGGTGTCAATTTAGAAACGTAAGTGCAAAACGTAACTCAAAACGTTGTAAGTCAAAGACTGCCTATGTAGTAAGACAGTAGCCTCTTTCCTCCCTTCACTTTTCAGTGGAGCTAACTCAAGATGTTTAAAATGAAGGTAGGCAGATGGCAGGGTAGATTTGCACCTTACAGGCTAACTAAATTAGAGATGCATAAACTTTTGTCCAGAACTATCCTGCCTTCTTCCTGATTTCAGACTAACATGGCTAAATACCTCTCTCTGCTCATGTAAAGTGAAGATAGCCAGGCACTGGTCTGTAGGACTTAAACCAAAACAACCCTTTCCCCTCCATAACATTTTTGAGGGGGAAAGGGTAGTGCAACTAGCTAGATGTTCTGCATCTCCTTTATTTTAACCCCCTGCCTCAGTAAGAGGGAGAATTCCTAGAAATGTAATGCTGAAAAGGAGCTCACAAAATCATGACTGTGGTCCATCCCACACGAGGGAGGGTCAGGTATAGTTAAACCATCCTGCACGGGGGTTTTCTCTGACCTGTTCTTGAGATTCTCCAACCTCTGTGAGTCTTTCAGGGTTTTGGTTTATTTTGTGTATTTTTTTTTTCCTTCTGTTAACTGCCTTTTATAGTTTTTACTGTTTGGGTTTGAGTTTGGTGGTTTGTTCTCCTGAAAGCCAAAATAAGATCTTTGGTATTCTGACATTCATCCTGTTTCTGTCCTGGTGTCTGCATCACTAGCATCTAGGCCAGCCTTCCTCACTTATCCTACTCTTGCATGTTTCTCCTTTTCTTTGATTCCTTTTACCAGTGCTCTCTTGACCATTCACTCCCTGATCCTGCTTACCTGTACTGGTGCCAGTCCACATAACAATCTTCAGTACTGTGTTAGTCCATGTATAGGCATGCAAGAAAAGGGCATAATTATATTACCTGCATAACAAAGTGCCAGTCTAGATTTGTTGCCTATTTCTGTATACCTATTTTTGGGAGGCTCCAGGAAGGAAAATAAACCCACAACTTACCTTGGAGTACAGGCAAGTAACTAAGGGCTGGGGGCTATGCACTGGCTGCATGGCAGGGCCTGATCTGGTGTGCTGGGGCTGTGTGGCAGGGCCAGATCTGGTGCACCAATGCAGAGGCCAGGCAGTGAGTCCTGGGCCTCACATTAGCTCTGGAACCAGATACCATGTCTGACCTGGCATGTGGCTCCAGAAAAATCAGCATATGGAGTTAGACCCAGCATGTTGGGTCTTGGGCTTTGTGCAAGCTCACACCCATGACTTTGGCTATGGACCAGTCCTGCATGAGGCCTTAATCCAGTGTGTGTTAGGGAAGGAAGGGGGCTTCCCGTAAGTCCTGAAATGTGGTAGTGGGGGCAAGGAGGGAACGGTGGCAACATTAATTGCTATGACTCCCAGAGCCACAATTAATGCTGCCACAGCTCCACACACCCTCTTGTCCAACTCTTCATATTTCTGGACCCACAGGGAGCCCTTTTACTAGCATATAATGTACACCCAATTTTTTTCCCCAGCTGGTTTTGGGGTGGGGAATTTGGGGTTATATGTAACACAGTACGATACCTTAATGCATAAACTGCTTAAGTGGAGAGCATATTTCAGTCTCATTGCCTACTTTGTAACTAGTTGTATTCTGGTTAACTGCGTACCCATCATAGCTGTCTGGAACTAATACCCTATAACTGCACCCAGAAAGAGTGAAAAGTAACAAACTGTTAAAGAGCTGCTATCAAAACCTTGATAATGAGGGGGGCTAATACTAGGACTGACAGTGCTGGACACTTAGGAAACACTGACTGATTTGGGTAAGTGCATAGCTTTTTTCTGTTGTAAGGCTATTCACTTTAGCAAAGTATATGGTATTTGCTATCTTTTAAGCTCCCAGCCTGTGGCTGGAGTGTTTATACCTGTTCTTCATGTGCTGACTCTCCTTCTCTCTTACTTCATTAGAAGATAGGCAAATATTTTCCATGTTTTAGCTATTGGTTATCTTATAAGCATGTACTGTATTTGCCATAGGGATGATCCTGACTAGAGATGTAATCTGTGCTGACTCCGACAGGGGGAATTGTATCCTGGAAATAAGGTTCGAGTTTCTCCTGGGTGACTTCTCTTCGAACATTTACCAATGCCAAGTTTAAAAATTCACCTTTTTAGACCAGCGTCTCCATGTATCGCTACTTGGCTTGCACTGGCCTTTCACAGAACTCAAGAACCATTTGGAGAAAGCTATGCTTGTAATTTAAACCTACCTTCCAAAACACATCTTCTCCTTTCACTCTGTTATCAGGGTGTAGTGAAATACAGGTCTTATGCTTTAGGCATGTGCCTAGGGAGCTGACCCTTACATCTGGCAGACATTGCCAAACAGTCACTTCGCCACATACCCAGCTAATCGTTGTGTCTGCTGATTTGAATGCCAGGTTGTGGAAAGCCACATCCATAACAATCTTTCTAAACATAGTGGAAGTTGCATGCCTGCAAAACTGATTCTTTTAAGTCACCTTACATTTAAGCCACAATTATCCCAATACTCATGTGCTTACTTAGTTGTGGCATTGACTTTGATGGAATTAAGCTTAGTGTCTACTGTAAGCAGGGGACTGGTCTTTGCAGAATCAGGGTTCTAGTTTATAAATCCTTCTCTCATTTTTCTATCAGTTCTTGGTAAGAGCTGAACACCTGGGAAACTATGATTTGTAAAGCATTTTTGCAATAACATGCAAGTCACTTACAATAAGACAAAGATGCCTAACTGCATCTTGCTCAGACTTCACAAGAATGTTCGCTTTTAGATCCTTCGATCAAAAAGAATTGAGGAAGTTGGAAGGTGAAAATAAAGAGCTATTAAGTAATGTTTGATACCAAACAAATGTGGCAAGGTCAATGTTTCCATCTTTTAACCACTCACTGCTGCCTCCAAAATGATCATCAGACACTAGTATAGCACATTTACTTGAAAATGCAGTAGCCAATCAACATGACAAATTAGTTGGTGTGACTAAACTTTTAAAATATTTTGCAGCTTTACTATTAACCTAAAATCAAGCAACTCTGATATTGCCCTGCACCTGAATCCCCGCATGAAAAACGAAGTTTTTGTGAGAAATTCTTACCTTCATGATAGCTGGGGAGAAGAAGAAAAGGAGGTGGCTCATTTCCCCTTCAGCCCAGGAATGTATTTTGAGGTAAGGCTACTTTTGAGGGAGCAGGAAAAAACCAAATGTGCCTATCATAACTAACAAAAAGAGTTGGCTAGTAGCCTTTTAACCTCCGGTAGCTAGCATCAGAACAGGTGATTTTTCTTTAAGTCTTTGATGTCTTCTTTTCTTTGACTTCTAAAAGTAATAGCTGCTTTTTAGGATTCAGAGTAAATCCAAATGATGCAATTTACTGCTGCGATCAAACACTTTAATAATCCTCTTTCCAGCGTGCAAAGGGGAAGAGGGAAAGGCGTGTTTGTTGTCTCATGCAATCCAGTTTGCTGAGAGCTGCCCCCTGCATTTTTTTTAAAATTGAAACTAAGTCCTTTTGAAGTCTTGGTTTTAAATGTTCCTTTCATGAAACCTAGTATTTCATAGAGCACAAGGCAGGCTTATCTGATTTCAAATTAGACTCCTGTAAGTTTCACTCCAAACCTGACTGTTCCTGTTCTTGCTTTCAGCTCATCATTTTCTGTGACGCTCATGAGTTCAAGGTTGCTATCAATGGGGTGCACGTCTTAGAGTACAAGCATCGATTTAAACAGCTGGGCATGATCAACCTATTGGAGATCACTGGAGACATTGAGTTACTGGATGTGAGGAGCTGGTAGTTTTCCATTAGGCTGAAGAATCCTTATAATGCTATTTTAACAAAGATTTTTTTTCTTTTTAGTCCAGACGTGGTGCTGAGTTTTCCAGGCTGTCGTCTTTTTTTCCAGGGTTTTATAATAATGCCTATCATAATGGCTGAGTGCTGAGCCCTATTAAACTAGATCTTCCCTAGTCTTCAGTATACTGACAAATAAAACTGATGTTATCTGCTTCAGTAGGCCTAATGCTCCTGCTGTATGAAGAATTTAACTACCAAACCCTAGCAATATAAAGAAGTTGCCTTACAGCATATGTAAGAAATACAGCTTGCATAGCAAGAGTCTAGAATAAAGAGAGCATTCCTTAATAGAATATTCTCAACTTCATGATCAGTATTATCTTGATTACAGCTGGACTGAAATATGATTCATAAATCTGAAAATGGAGCATCAGCTTCTCCAGGGATCAAGTCATAAGGGAATTGTAAAAGAAGGGAGTATGCTGCTCAGCAGGAATGCGTGCAACCTCTTGGCTTTATGTTTTTTATGTTAAGCGAACAATAATGAGATGACTGGAGTTACTGTATATAAAAATAGACTAATATACTGATGATGAATCAGGTCCATAATATGTTTAAACAATAATAGTGTTTTTCAGCCTGAAGTCTAAAAGCATGTCCTAAGCCATTGTGCAGCACTTGGCCTAATGAGAGACTTTTTCCACTGTTGGTTCTGTCCTGCGGTGCAAAGCCACTTCCTGACTAATCATATCCACTTCTTCTACTAGGGTAGTTAAAGATAACACCTACTGCTTCCTCAACAGGTTTGTGGGCCAGATCTGTAATTGAAGTTGGACTGGTGCATGATAGTGACGCACTTAGTTCAGTTGGCAGTAGAAAAGTGATTTTACTAGAACTTGTCAATTTTTGGACTGTGTAGAGTCCAAAGAGTTCTTATCTGATTCAGACTGTTCAGGGATGCTTTCTGGTATCTGTTTTTAGGAGGGATGCACCTGTGAACATTATATGCAAAGCCTGGCCACTGGTTCAACATGAGAGTACTCTACTACCTTGCACTGTCTGAAACAAGCAGCTGGTATATATTCTACTCCATCTTCTTTGCTGAGTACTTGAGGGCAATTTCATTAGTATTTCCCTGAGCAGAGGTTCCCAACCACGGGGCATGAGCCCCCCACTCAGAGCCCCGTCTGTCTGCCTGGGCAAGCAGCTTCTAGGGTGTCACAGCTGAGCTTCTGGGGTTAAAGCCGGGTGGCAGGGGAGCCCCAGGAGGGAGGCAGCTGGCTCTGTGCGCCCTCATTCTGCTTCTGCTGGGCCACGGGGGGGGGGGGGTTGGGAACC